TCCAAGACTCTGTCCCCCCAACCATTTTGAGAAATCGACACCCATGTGCTCTACACATGCTCACTCTGCAAGCGTTAACGAGTACATACCAATAATAGGCTTTGAGTTTCATCTATACTCATCTGCTGTAATATGACCTAGTCAGTTGAAATTTATTTTCATTTTCAAAATTTTGCTACAAATTGGCTCGCAAAAGTCTCAGTTCTTGCCACCTACCACATCCGGTAGATCACAACTTTTTTCACCCATGCAGAAGTATTCGCTGATATTGCAGCTCCAATTCGTTCGAGTCCGCTTGGAAGGCAGACACGGCGTGGTGCAGGAGCCGGCAGACCGCAGCCACAGTGAAATACGGGCCGGACTCCGATCTCATACGCAGACAGAGGAACTTCAACCGACAGCCCCGCCACTCAGATGCCGGCCGTGTGACGACAATGGCTTTGTAGCAATCGCGGCTCAAAATCGCCACACCTCCGTAGCCGACCTCTCCCGGCCGGTCCTCACGGTGCAGCGCTCAGCCGGGCAATGTGACCAGCCTGAACGCAGCGGCGGATCAAGGCCACGTCTCGGCGACCGCGCAGAAGTCGTAATGCAGCCGGTTTAGGTGGGCACGGCGCAGTAGAGCTATCTTCGGCAGCAGGGGCTGGATGTTGATCAGTCTCACCGGCAGGTTGCGACGACGACCGTCCAGAGAAGAGCGCCGCCACGCCTGATCGCCAGCGCAGCGCGGCGCTTGGTACCGACACGGCGCCTGCTGTGCCGAGCACCGCCAACGGCCGCAAGCCGGTCACGGTCAAGGTCACCGTGGCAGGGGTGCGGGGCGAGGTCGCCTCGAGATCGGCCAGCGTGTCGACGGGGCTGATGGGCTGGGTAGTCGCTACAGCACAGCGCCGGTGACCATGGTGCTGGTCTACGTCGGGACGATCACAGGCATAGGAACGTTTCAAAAAGTGAGGGGGGCGGGCCAAGCTCAGGGCGTGCTTCAGGAACATTTCTGGAAAACAAGCCCGATGACCGGGGGGGAGGGGGGGGGGGCGGGGGCGGGTTGAGATGGAGGTTATTGCTCTTTATTCAAATGTAATGATTGCTATTCTAGATGTGCATCTAGAGTTGTTTCCATTGGTGCACACTCTTGCCTATCCATCTCATCTATGTCATTCGGGAAATAAGGCTATCAAGCTTGCCGAGATTATTCGTCCATTTCAACGTTGTCTTTTCTGGGGAGCCGAAATTCCACGAGCGGGTAGGCATTTTGGGTCATCCAGGATCTGCCTCCACAAGGTAGATGCCATTGAAGCATCTGTCTCCACAAGGTACATGCCAAAATATGGCCTGAGCATAGGCTGGTGATAATTTTGAAAGTGAATCGATTGTTCATAGTACAACAGATGCGCGCCTTCATTTTGCACGCGTCTTCATTTCACTGGCCGCATTTCAAGAGATAAGACTTGTCGTGGCATTTTAGGCGGAAACCAATTCGGAAGCTTGAAACTGCCAAAAGCCGTGCGACAAACGCCATTGAACTGGAGGTTCTCCTTTGAAACCAAGCCACAGAATGAAGACCTTTCTGTCATGTATTCCTCATCTGAGCCCTGCTCCCGTCCGCTGTCGGTGGCCGCTGTCCTGGCCCGGCTGTCTCCGAATAGCTGATCGTAAACTGATGGTACGGCTGCTTTGTTGCGCATTTCTGGATCAGCATTGTTACCAATTGGGATGTAAAACATGTATTGGTCACCTGCAACAATACTTTTTTCCGAATTATCTTCCTTACACCACACCACCCCAGAAAAACGCTGCTGGCAGCCTGCATACCTTAGGTATGAGTTGGCCCAACGGACATTTGACTGCCCGTCATTCAACATAGATGACTTTTTTAAATTTGATCCGAACCCTTTGAGTGGATGGATTTCTGGGATCAGCGCTCACGCTAAGTAGACCTCGTTGCGCGAGCCCTGACCTTCACCATCCGATCGCGCAATTCCAGGCAACGACAGAATTTAGAGGCGAAAGCTTAATGCGCCGCAATGCTCGGCACGGTCCGTCCTGCCCTCTGACGTCAACTGACCTTTAGGGCGACCGCTGCGACCGGCCGCAGGCCATACCTGCCAGGGGCAAATAGCGAGCGCCCTAAAGCGGCCCAAACCAACCCTGCCACAGGTGTGTGGATCAGAAGGGAGGCGGTCTGACCACGTGAGCCATCGGGACGGACTTTATCTGCATTTGTATGTCAGCAGTGGGTATCCAGTGCCTTGCTAAGAGGAACACAGCGTTGACAAAAGACCCCTTTATGGTAAACCGCCACAAAACACATGCCCGGATATCGTTTGTTAACACGGGATACGGTTTTCTTCGTTTTATTGCTATTTTTATGTTGTTAACAGCAGAAAAAACCAGATGGTACCATGAAATCAGTTCTGTTTACATTTTTAACACGCGCCCGGGTGGCTGGCTAGATGCTCTTTGCTCGGGTGGGGGTCAATTTAACTCCCTAAGATCTCGGTAACTAGGAAAGTTAGAGACACCAAATTCACAGGGTGTGTTGACCTACACGTGAACTCACTTAGGTCAAAGTTTGAGGTTCCTAGGTTTTGACCTTGGGTTCAAATAAGGTAAAAAAGTTCAAATTCCTGGTTGGTCTCTAAAGTGTCCCCAGAAACTAGATAACTGTTTTTAAGCAAAAGGCCACATGTCCAGTTAAGGTCAGTGACCTTCATTAACCCATTGAAGGTCATGTTGACCAAAATCATACAAGACTGCTCCGAGTGTTGCATTTGAATAAGCGAGAAAGCTTACGCTGGACAGTGTGTTTCTAAAAACAAAATGTTGACCTAGCTCATTTTAGGTCAATGATCTATGCTGACCTCTAAGAAGTCCATGAAAGATGTATAATGCGGCTCCGGCCGTCCATAAATTGAACGTGAGCACCAGAAACTATCCCAAACAGCGAGTCTTAGAGTAATAAAACAGGTTGGTTTTGACATCGGTCTGACCCTTATACCAGACCTTTGGTCGACGTAATTTGCTCATTCGATCCTTGTGTTCCCTAAGAAAGCACCTCAGAGATGTATGGCTTCGTCTAACACTCTATGGCTGCATCAGACTGGACGATCCCCAAGAAGTCGACTTCGCTGAAGCCATGGCCTGACCTTGGCCCGCCATAGGCCAGCGACATTAGAAAAACATCTAAATTTTTTACGCCAAACGATCCGCTATTCAATTGTCTAAAGCCATGCAAAGCAGAGCGCGGCTGCGCCGCGCCGCTTGGAAGCCATTCTGGAAAAACCTTTGGTGGAGCGAGTCAACTTTACCCCCCACCCGAGTGCGTAAGGCCAATGAACTGCAGAAATCAGGCGTTTAACGACCGTATGGAATAAATTATCGGTGTCCGTATTTGCAATGGCTTAGTGGACTTTTTCTAAACGATAGAATTCAGAACCTTTTTCATAATGTTTTATCTGCGTTCTACAGACATTGAGGACACTGGGAAGGTAGATTGTAGGTTGATATGTTTGATCGAAATTTGAGGATGACAATTTTGATTGCAGATCGAGAGTGTATTGTGTATTATGTGTATGTGTGCATTAACATCGCCAAGCCATGTTTGTCCGGATATGTTTAGCATTCAATCAGAATCAATAAGTGATGCAAATTATATAACGTGGTTTTTAACATGCGCGCTCGCAAATCTTCACAACGAAAACCTCGACACCAGGCTTTGCAGTCTCCATGGTCCACGGAGAGCTAGCTTAGTAGCCAATTTTTCGTCATAGTCCACCGGTGGACGAAAATGATAATGGTTCCAGAATAGTTACCTTCAAACACTTGAATCGGTTAGTAATAAAACATATGTGACGCAATTTTGAGCATGCGTACTCACAAATCTTCGTTCAAGAACTTGACGCCAGGCGTTGCAGTCTCCGTAGGACGCGCCGCGTCGGCCCAACAGCTGATACCGAGCCGTGGCCAACGAATGGACAAAAATGATGACGCTTCTGAACGAAGTACCTTTGAACGCCTCAGGACATCATATCTCACATCTACAAGGCAGTCTGGACATATATTTCACGTGTGCGATTTTTAGACTGATGATAGGAACGGATTGGCCCTTAAAGCGCCGCAAAGTGGCGCTGCAATCTGTTGGTGGAACTGGAAGAGTGAAGGAAGATTCTCTATTTGTCGTGTTTCTGCAACTATCAATCTGTCCAGAAGACATGTTGACATGGCGCCCGCCGTCTGGTGGCACTTACAGCGGCCGACGCTGTTCAGTTTTACGGAAGCTGCAATCCAGCCCATCGCTGCCTTCGCTCCCGAGGTTGCGGGGGTCATATCCAAGCCTTCTGATGCACTTTTTCACTAGTCCATTCTGGTAAAAATGGACGTTCTTAGGCGAACATGGGATGGCCTTGTTCGTTTTTTTTTAAAGTTCATTTCGACGTACTGTATTCAAAAACAATGAGACATCTACTCTACTCAACAATAATGAGGCCCCTTATTTGCTTCAGGGCAAGGGGCCCCTTAAGTAGAACACCAAGGGCACATTACCGGTTCCGGTCAAGAGCTGAACGGCCACTTCGTCCCATCACGAAGCGTCTTCTGGCTGTCATTCTAACGACATGGGGCGGGATCTTCTGGTCGATCCGGAGGCTATTGGAAGGATATATCATATCACATTGTTCCCCTCCCTGACACGGGAGGCCTTCTGACCCGTGCAGTTGGCCCCGGATCAGCCCAGGAACACTTATTAACGGAACAACATCCCCGATCGCCAAAGGTGGTCCAATAATTGTCACACAGGCTCCAGTTTCATGTTTTTCTGTTTTCTTCAGAGATATTGAGGAATCCCTGAACGTAGATTGGAGATGAAGTGGGGTCCTAAGCTTGTATTAACATGGCTAACCCCTGTTCGTCTTAAAATGTCAAGATTCAGTCAGAATTCATTACTGATAAAAAAAACTCTGTAATATGGTTTTGAACATATGCGCTCGCAATTCATAGCAACAACAGCCTGAACGCCCGGCGTTGCAGTCTCCGCAGGCCGCTTGGTGTTGGCCTGTGGCTGTGACAATAAGCGATGGCCAGTAAGCGAACGAAAAAGATGACGCATCTTGAGGAAGTTGGCTGGTGAACTAGGTAAATCGGCATGTGTATTCAAATGCGGTGCAGAACTAAACTAAACACAACCTTAACCTGAGAAGTGGGAGGAGGGGGTTAACACTGCAGGTTCCCCACCCTGAAAAGTGTGTGTGTGGGGGGGGGGGGGGCATGGCCATCTGGCCTCCCCTGCTCCTACGCCCGTGGGAGCGATGACTGTGGTGCTGGTCTCACAGCTATTTCGAGCAGGTAGGCCAACACCAGCAGCACCAGATGGCTGGCAAGATATAAATGTACAAATGTATCTCTGTTGCGACAGAAGCATGCTGCTTTGTCGCGCGGACTGCTTTGTCGAGTAGACTGTTTCGTCGGACTGACACGAATCCACGGCACACTAAGTCGCACAAAGGATTACTCTCGCACAACAGTCACTGGCAGGCACGCAGGACGAGCCCCAGTGCGGTGAAACAGGAAGGAGTGGGGCTCCCGTCACCGCAGCCGGCTGGGAAGCGCGGCGCGCGGGGAACTGACTGTCCACAGGGGTCCCATTGGTACAATTGGTGCGAGCTGAGGTACATTTTGACTGAGACGACGGTGACTGCTGGCTGCTACCAAGTACATTTAAACGCCGATATTAAACAAATTCTGTCACAAGCATATTTTGTCGGTGGCGGAATCTCGCTGCTACCTCCCTCCCTCTCCCCCCGACGGCGCCGTCTTTGATACAATTGCCCACTCTCGGATACGCTAGCAGCAGTAGCCGCTTACGGGGGGCGTCACGTCCATAAGCAGCACGTCGAATAGAGTCTCCGCCAGCAGCCACCGCACGGTGCTGCCCACGTGGGTCGGGTCCAGGCACTCATCACGTACCGGACCTGTGAATGTGGGCCGCCGGTGCAGCTCAAGCGGCAGACAGACCGAATGGTAGAAGCGCGTCGCCTCGGTCACACCCGACGACCAGACGACGAGCTGCGGCACGAGCGCTGCCGTCTCGTGTAGCGCCGCCGCCAGTGCCATCAGCGTGCCGGTGACGCCTGACTTGTGGCCGCGTAGGGCCTCCGTCATATACAGCTCGTCCAGCTTCCAGAGCACAGGCGTGGCGGCGGCGAGCCGCGCCAGCCGCGGCTGCAGCGCCGCTAGCTCGGCTGCGAAGCGCGCCACCCAGGCGGTGGGCTGGCCGCTGTCCAGGCCGCGTTTCCGCACTGCGTACCAGGCGCCGCCGTCCAGGACCACCAGGTCGGGGCAGCGGCCGGCCCAGCACTCGTCCGCCAGCTCGTCCAGCCGGCGGCCGTACAACTCGTCCAACCATGGTCTCCACCAGAACTCGTTACGCAGGTGAGCGCCCGTGTTGATTATGCTGCAGCGCGCCTTGGCGATCCGGTCGTCGCTACCGTCTTTGGCCTTCGGCGCGGCAAGCACGAACACCTCCACGCAGTCTTCACTTAACGCGGGCATGCGCAGGGGCACCGTCTCATGCGAGCCGGTGCGCCACTCGGTTGGGTACGTGCCGTTCAGGTCGAAGTCACGTCGGTAGTCGGTGAGCCGCACGCGCTCCTTCATTTTCATGTGCACGATACGCACGCGACTGTCGCCGACGAGCACCACCCTGGCGTCCCGCCCGCGGCGCCGAGCCAGGCGCTGCAGCGCGCGTCGAGCCTGATACGGCGTCCACTGCCGCTTCCTGCAGAGGTCCGCCGCCGGCTGCTCCCACGAGTGGCGCACCTGACCCGTACGCAGGACGCGCTGGCACTGCTCCCAGCGCCGCTGGCCTCCACCCAGCTCCACAGGTGGCCGCGTCATCGGGCGCTGTCGCACGAGCAGCGGCAGGAAGATCACGGCCAGCAAGACGCACACCTTCAGCGGTGCTGAGCAGGACCGGCCCATGACCACCGGGAGCTCCATCTGCGCAGAACCAATTGAATGGTGCGCGCTGCGCCGAGAATAGCGCGTACGAGCCGGCCACCTTCACCTGGCGGCGCGATTGGGAAGCTTTTGTGCAGCTGCCGGGCAGGCGTCGCGTTCATAAAAGCGGCCACGATACGTTACATGCCCATTGGAGTGCCCTTCAGCTGCAGAACTCAGTGAGCCGGCGGTAATCTGGAATGAAATAGCATGTTATTAAGCTTCCCAAGACGTCTCCCAAATATTGCAAAGCCAGCCTGCGTCGGCCGGTATAGCACTAACCATCTACTATATCACGCTCTACGCAGTGCAGACATCTGGTGCTACACATCTCAGCTTTTCTGCATTCAAATGCTGCATATGTTTGGTGATCAACTCGACGAGAATCGTAGACTAGTGTTAAGTCTATCTCGTATAAACGGATATATGTTGAAAAGATAGCCTGACAAAGTGACAATGTGCAGCGTTTCAGCAAACACGAAATACAATATTGGAAAAACCAAACGGCTTCAAGCGTTGAATCTGACGCGCGCTTTCACTTTCCACACCCAGTATAGCCCCAAGCATTACGGGCGATAGCAGACTTTGTAAAACATTCTACCATTTTTTACACCCCGGAGTCACACACACCTACCGTATTGGGGGGCTGAACATCATTAGGAGCGTCATGGTTCAAAGAAAGGAACCTGTGTTTGAACGCCAAGAAATGCAAGTCAATTTGGTGCGCGACACGTGAGCATGAGGTCACCCCAGGGTGTCCAAATGTCACACCAACCACCATGTAGAGTGTTATGTAATCCACGTCCTCGGATGGAGTCGAACCAGGCGAATTGCCAACTGCATGACTCCCGTGGGTTTCCTGCCGACTCCCCCAGCATCCGACAACTTTTGAAGGGCGCGAAACCAACCACCTAAAATTTAGAATGACGCTTTTGGAGTGAGCACACCTTTACAGAAAGTCGCCAAGCGCGTGTAAGAAAATTTCCATCCGCCACGCTGAGTCCGTTTCTCGTCCATCGTGCAGTCCAACCGCTCCCGGGTGAAGCAGCTCAAGAGCGGTTCTAGACATTAAAGGATGAGATATCCTCTACTCGTTCGGTACTGAACACGCTAAGGAATGTAATGTAATGTAATGAATGTAAGCATGCGAGATATTTAAAATATCACACCTTTTTTGCAGGGCAGTACGGGATATTGACATGGCTTAGACGCACCCATCCACATCATCGCCAGCTCCTGAGCGGGTACCAGTGTGCGAGATTGCACAGTGCCCATACTGCATTGCAGGAAGGTAGGTGCCCACCCAATACCATCGTACCGTCTTATCGCTCAACATGGGTCTCAGAGATTCCAGCAATTATCTACTCCCCTAAGATGCATTGGATGAGGGGGGAATAAGTGTGACGATTATTCTCACTTTTTGCATGCACCGCAATAGGATGAATGACAATTTGTGTCCGGATCTGGCGGGGTGGGTGGCAGCATCCATTTTGCCCCCCAACCCTCGCTCTGTTCACCATAATTGCAATTTTGTGTCTCAAAAGTGCTTTACAATGCTCTTCACTCTGGAAAGGAGTGTCCAGCCCACCTCCCGCTACTGGTGCAATACTCTTGCTGAATTGTTTCGTTCAACTCTCCTCTGAATTGCATTTCTGTGCAGACTTTTTTGTTGACATTAGTTATTCAATGCCCTCTCAAAAGCTGTACAGTTCAGCAGGAATTCCAAAACCACAGCAGTGAATGCTACAATACATGCCTTGGCGAGGAAATCGAAGCCACTGCCATTAATCTAAGAGCCACTTTGATGGGCGCCGCCAGGATTTCCTTAAGGGGGGGGGGGGGGGGGGGCGGGGCTCAGCGAGTAGTGGAAGGCAGCGCAGATATTCCAGGATGCGTGCCTTTTGGATGCCGAGTCGATTAGAGAAAATTGATTACTGGGGAAAACTACGTCATACTTTCTTGAGCATGCACGATTGCAAGTCCTGAGAACAAAACCCTGACACTCAGCGTTGCGGTCTCCGTAGGCCTCGTGGCGTTGGCCGCGCGGTTTGCATTTGGTGACGGCTCACGGGCGCGCGAAACACGAATTTGAAGGAAGTGCCTTTCAACGCTTTAGGAAATGCATTCGCACATCTAGAAGGCAGTCAGGGGTACATTCACCGGTGCGACCTTAAGATTGATAAAAGGAATGAATCACCACCTATAGCACCGCACACCGCTACTGGAATCTGGTGATGAAGCCAGAAAAAAGAAAAAAATATTTGTATTTCGTATTGCCCTAACTGCTAATCCGTTGAGCAGACAACCTCAAACTTGTAAAGGCCAACTTTACGGCGCAATCCAATCTTTCAATGATGTTATCATTTTTGAAAGACTCACGGAACCATCATCTCACGACGGTCGTTCTCGAGCGCCCGTCGCCCGCCCACAGGTGTTTTCTGCGGTGGCCAACGTCGTACAAGTTCACAGAATTACGTAAGCTGCCCAGTGCATTAGCGAGGAACATCATTTAAATAGATAAGGCAGTAGAAATAACCATACGCCTCGACGAAAAACCAGAATGGAGATATAGTTCGGCCGATATTTCGGCAACGTGCCTTCATCGAAACAATAGCACAATTTTCCTGGTTTCCTGGTGGCATAGGCGTAGGAACGTTTCAAAAAGTGGGGTGGGGAGCAAGCTCAGGGCGTACTTCAGGAACTTTTTCTGGAAAACAGGCCCGATGACCGGGGGGGGGGAGGGGGGAGGGGCGGAGATAGAGGTTATCGCTCTTTCTTCAAATGTCATGACTGCTATCCCAGAGATGCATCTAGAGCTGTTTCGCACTGGTGCACACTCCTGCCTATCCGACTCATCTATGTCATTCGGGGAATAAGGCTATCCGACCTCCCAAGATTATTCGTCCAGTTCAACGTTGCCTTTTCTGGGGAGCCGAAATTCCACGAGCGGAAGTAAGCACTTCGGGTCATTGAGGAGGCATCTGTCTCGACACGGTAGATATCAAAATGTGGCCCGAGCATAGGCTAGTGAGAATTTTGAACGTGAATCGATGGTTCATAGTACAACAGATTTTGCATGCGCCTTCATTTCGCTGGCCGCATTTCGATACATAAGACTTGTCGCGGCATTTTAGGCGGAAACCAATTCGGAGGCTTGAAACTGCCAAAAGCCGTGCGACAAACGCCATAGAACTAGAGATTGTTCTTTGAAAACCAAGCCACAGAATGAAGACCTTTATGTCATACATTCCTCGTCTTAGCCCTGCTCCCGTCCGTCGTCGGTGGCCACTGTCCTGGCCCGGCTGTCTCCGAATAACTGACCGTGAACTGATGGTATGGCTCCTTTGTTGCACATTTCTGGATCAGCATTGCTACCAATTTGGATGTAAAACATGTATTCGTCACCTGCAACAGTACTTTTTTCCGAATTATCTTCCTTACACCACACCACCCCAGAAAACGCTGCTGGCAGCCTGCATACCTTAGATATGAGTTGGCCCAACGGACATTTAACTGCCCGTCATTCAACGTAGATGACTTTTTAAAATTTGATCCGAACCCTTTGAATAGATGGATTTCTGGGATCAGCGCTCACGCTAAGTAGACCTTGTTGTGCGAGCCCTGACCTTCACCATCCGATCGCGCAATTCCAGGCAACGACAGAATTTAGAGGCGAAAGCTTAATGCGCCGCAGTGCTCGGCACGGTCTGTCCTGCCCTCTGACGTCAACTGACCTTTAGCGCGACAGCTGCGACCGGCCGCAGGCTATACCTGCCAAGGGCAAATAGCGAGCGCCCTAAAGCGACCCAAACCACCCCTGCCACAGGTGTGTGGATCAGAAGGGAGGCGGTCTAGCCACGCGAGCCATCGCGGCGGACTCAATCTGCATTTGTACGTAAGCAGTGGGTATCCAGTGCCTTGCTAAGACGAACATAGCGCTGACAAAAGCCCCCTTTATGATAAACCGCCACAAAACACATGCCCGGATACAGTTTAATTGTTAATATTTTTCTTCGTTTTGTTGTTATTCTTACGTTGTAAACTGAAGGAAAAACCAGATGGTACCATGAAATCAGTTCTGTTTACATTTTTAACACGCGCCCGGGTGTCCGGATAGATACTCTTCGCTCGGGTGGGGGGTCAATTTGACCCTCTAAGATCTCGGTAACTAAGAAAGTTAGAGACACCAAATTCACAGGGTGTGTTGACCTACACGTGAACTCACTTAGGTCAAAGTTTGAGGTTCCTAAGTCATGACTTTGGGGTCAAATAAGGCAAAAAGGAGAAATTCCAGGTTGGTCTCTATAGTGTCCCCAGAACCTAGATGACTGTTTCTAAGCAAAAGGCCACATGTTCAGTTAAGGTCAGTGACCTTTTTTGACCTTTCGAAGGTCATGTTGACCAAAATCATACCAGACTGCTCTGAGTGTTGCATTTGAATAAGAGAGAAAGATTACGCTAGGCAGTGTGTTTCTAAAAAAAACAAAAAACATGTTAACCCAGTTCATTTTAGGTCAATGATCTACGCTCACCTCTAAGAAGTCCATGAAAGATGTATAACGCGGTTCCTGCCGTCCATAAATTCGAAATGAGCACCAGAAACTATCCCAAACAGCGAGCCTTAGAGCAATAAAACAGGTTGGTTTTGACATCGGTCTGACCCTTATACCCGACCTTTGGTCGACGTAATTTGCTCATTCGATCCTTGTGTTCCCTAAGAAAGCACCTCAGAGATGTATGGCTTCGTTTAACACTCCATTGTTGCATCAGATTGGACGATTCCCAAGAAGTCGACTTCGCTGAAACCATGGCCTGACTTTGGCCTGCCATAGGGCAGCGACCTTACAAGTACATCTAATTTTTTATGCCAAACGATCCGCAATTCAATTAGCTAAAGCCATGCAAAACGGAGCGCGGCTGCGCCGCGCCGTTCGGGAGCCATTCTGGAAAAACCTGTGGTGGGCGAGTCAACTTGACCCCCCACCCGAGCGTGTGGTAAGGCCTGCAGAAGGCTGAACTGCAGAAATCAGGCGTTTAACGACCGTATGGAATAAATTATCGTCACTGAGGCATCTGTCTTCACAACGTAGATGGCAAAATATGGCCCAAGCATAGGCTGGTGAGAATTTGGAAACTGAATCGATTGTACATAGTACAAAAGATTTTGCATGTGCCTTCATTTCGCTGGCCGCATTTCAAGAGATAAGACTTGTCGCGGCATTTCAGGCGGAAACGAATTCGGAAGCTTGAAACTGTCAAAAACCATGTGACAAAAGCCATAGAACTGGAGATTCTCTTTTGAAAACCAAGATAAACAGAATGAACGCCTTTATGTCATATATTCCTCGTCTGAGCCCTGCTCCCGTCCGCCGTCGGTGGCCACTGTCCGGGCCTGGCTGTCTCCGAATGACTGACCGCCAACTGATGGTATGGCTGCTTTGTTGCATATTTCTGGATAATTATTGCTAGTAATTGGGATGCAAAACATGTGTTGAACACCTGCAACAGTACCTTTTTCCGAATTATCATCCCTTACACCACACCACCCCACAAAAATGCCGCCGGTAAGCTGCCTACTTTAGGTATGAATTGGCCCAAAGGGCATTTAATTGCCCGTCATTCAACGAAGGTGACTTTATCTGCATTTGCGTGTAGGCAGGGGGTATCCAGGTCTTGCCAAGAGGAACACAGGGTTGACAAAAGCCCCTTTATTGTGACCCCCGCCCCCCACAAAAAATGCCCCCGGATACAGTTGACTCGTTAACAAGGGATACAGTTTTCTTCGTTTCATTGTTGTTTTTACGTTGTAACCACAACAGAAACCAGAGGCTATCGTAAAATCAATTCCGTTTACATTTTTAACACGCGCCCGGGTGGTCGGCTACACTGAAAAAGTTTTTACACCCAGGAGTCACACTCGACCACCGTATTCGTGGGCTCAAAGCTCCTCAGAGGTGTCACATTCGGAAAAAGGGGTCGCTGTGTTACCGTGTAATCATGCAGGAGTCGGTTTTCTGCGTCACCGCCGACGCGGCAGTCACTTTCGGGTGCACGAATGTTACAACAACCACCATGTGGGGTGTCACGTAATTAACTCCCTGTGGGGGTGTCGCAAACCCCGAAGCCATCAATTGCAGACTCCGATAAGTTTTCCCCTGACCACCCAACATCCAGGAACTTTCAAAAAGCAGGAAGCTGACCATCCAACAATCATAATGACGCTTTTATACCGGACTTGACATCCTCACTGGGAGTTGCCTGACACATACCCCAGGCATCTCTGTCGCCATTACGCTTCTCACTTTGCCATTCGTGCTTCAGTGAGCACCGCAGGGAGCTCAAGACATCGCCCGGTAAGAGCATTTACCTGTTCATTCTGAACTGTGCTAGGGAAAGCTTGTGGGATAACGAATATCCAGAATGTGCAGTCATGTGCTTAAGCAAAGCAGTCTGGAATGCCTTCTTGTCTCGGCATGATCACGCACAATTGACAGCTTACCTCTGTGAACTGGTGTGCATATTTTTTCATGTTGGCCCACCCCACCATGGCATTGCTAATGGTTCATTCCAAGATGCCAAGCCATTAGGTGCTACTACCATGATTATCATTCACAATTCTTTGCAACATGCTGGGGGCACTGCACAGTGATGCCGCTAAGGGAGGAAGTGGTCCCTTCCCCTAGGCCCACATTATTGCAGCATAGACAGATTCTGACAGAATTACAAAGTTGCTGTCCAAGCTATCAATGGATAGTTGCATCCTCCCCACCCTATGCTGCTCTGGCAATCCCGGCTGTTCCCACTGCAATTGTCATTTATGCAGGAAAGCTTTTATGAGCAGACAACAGGCAAAAATTATGAGTGCTTTGGAAAATAGCAGTCTAATTTAGAAGGTACCCACCACACATTGACACTTTCATACAAATTCCCACCTTGTTTTACAAGCCAAGTGTTGGATCGTGTCAGAAGCCACCACAATGCCAATTCTGGAGGAACACATGTGATTGTGAGATGGCATATTCAAGCAGTTTGTCACCAATTTTTGATTCACTAGACATGTTCACATTGATGGCTGGGCTTCATGAAACACAATAAAGTTTACACAATTAAGATGAGCTGTTTTAACAGAGCCAATGACTCAAATAATGATTTATCACATCTGCCCTTTATGAATCAATTCACTTCGGACACACAACACGATTGAGATTTAGGCATACTTAACCATGGCACAACTACCCAAGGCACCTCGAATTGCATACAGGTCTGTGTCTTGCAGAAAGTCTAGCATTTTAACTATGTGTGCAACATGTTTGTGATCCACCATTTACATACAACCATAAAGCTTATATGAAATTAGGTACCGGCGGCAAATAACCCATTGAAATATAACATCTTCTCTGCTCCCATTTACCGTTTGGAGATAAAGGAAGTTATGTTACCTACCTCTGCATCTTTATGGTCATATTCTGAATACAAGATGACAAATGTCCCTGAGAACTCCTGCTGTATAGTTATACATGGTATCAGTCTTAAAAACATCGGTTGATGACTACTATAGGGTAACAACAAAGACCGTGACCGCAGCTGCTCCATATTCCTTTGGTAAGCCTGAGGATCTGATATCTTGCTCTATCATGTTTAAGATACGTTTATCGAAGAACCGTTACAATTTACAATTTCGACTTGTGGCCATGTAAGGAGGAAGACAACAAATGGTATCAAACGACATGACATGCAATGGTGAGTGATGTATTTAACCCTGAACTGTCATTACGTGCACGAGCGTACACAACGCCAAGGTTTAGGGCAATTTGCAATACTCGACCTGTTTGTAAAGTTCAAGGCTGCTAGGGAAGGCCACGTAGGCGTGATGTCATAACGGGACTAAAATTTAGTAGCCGGTAGTATGGTTTTTGGCTGATACTACGCGAAGGCTGGTAGATACTAGTAACATGATGACGAACGGAGATTTCGCTAATAAACTGGATAGCCATCCAGTTCTACATCCTTATTCAGATATTATATGAACAGATGCTATATATTTTGCATTTAAACCTTCTGACAGCAAATCAATACTACGACGTACTTCCAAAAATAAATCCTACTAAACCACGTTTACTAGGTCCAGTACTTGCGCCATATTCGTCGTAGTCAACGTGCCTGAGCATTTATATATGGTGCTTCCTTCTGAAACGTATACTTTTTGTAAATGGGGAGCGTGTATATCGACTCATGAGTCGATTTACTGAAAACGGCCCTTCTGGGTAAATCACGTCGGATCCGAGTCGATTTACACACAGCTGCACCACTATGTAAATCGAGTCAGATTCATGACGTCACGTTTGCGCATGCGCACTCGCCTGCGTTTGCGACCGTGTCCGCACCGACGCGCGGTTTTGAACGCCGGGCGTGTTGAGGTGCGGGTGAGGGTGGGTGTGGTGCGCCACAAATGAGGATTGAAGGTATGTGCATATTGTGCGTGCATGGAGGTATGTGCATATCGAATCGAGTCACAGATCAATGAAAGTAATTTCATTAAATAGGTACACTTGGCCAGAGACGAGGTGTAGGTCAAAATCAGGGTGCTTTCAACCAGGGACGACGCAGCAATGGCATAGGGGCTGTCCCTGCCCCCCCCCCCCCCCTCCCATTGCCGGCAGACGGGTAGATAGCAGCAGTTCCAAATCAGGATTTCCTTAAATTTTGAAGACCCCTTTTGTGGATTGAAAGTATGCTGTTCTTGGTGACAAAGCCCTTTCACTTGCCAGGAGGCCATGTTTTATGGTGCCAATGCGGTCAGGGTGTACTTTCCTACCTAACGTTAGAAAGAATCATTGTGCACCATTCGTCGTGTTTAAGGCAGGACATATCGTAAATAATCACAAAACAGGTAGATTTATGATCTTACCTTCAATTTTTTATAATTACGATGGCGAGCTCCCGAGCGCCGCACACACAGCACCCGCGACACCGGCGCCATTACTGCGCGGATCACAACATTACTGCGCATCAAGCAGCATCAAGAACCATAAAAATGTACCGGGCCAAGGTAACAAGAATCGTTGCAGGGTGATTGGGTGGGGAATGTAAAGCAAAATGAGAACATGGCAGCTAAATAAAACCTCACTGTATGGCACCTATATATGGCATGGAACATGGACGCCAATGGGATGCTGGGTTGAAGCGGATATAGGGTGGGGAGGTTAGGTTAGGTTAGGTTAGGTTAGGCTAGGCTAGGTTAGGTTAGGCTAGGCTAGGTTAGGTTAGGTTAGTTAGGTTAGGTTAGGTTAGGGTAGGTTAGCTTAGCTAAGCTTAGGTTCTGGTCCATTCTCAGGTTAGGTTAGGTTAGGTTAGGCTAGGCTAGGCTAGGCTAGGCTAGGCTAGGGGGGGATTGGGTGGGGAATGTAAAGCAAAATGAGAACATGGCAGCTAAATAAAAGCTCACTATATGGCACACATATATGGCATGGAACATGGACGCCAATGGGATGCTAGGTTGAAGGGGATATAGGGTGGGGAGGTTAGGTTAGGTTAGGGTAGGTTAGCTTAGCTAAGCTTAGGTTCTGGTCCATATTATTGTTACCTTGGTCCCGTACATGTTTTATGGTTCTTGATAAGCAGAAATATTGTGCTTTCGCAACAACGCAGAAACGGCGCTTGGGAGTCGAGGCGGTGCGGTGCGTGCGGCGTTCGGGAGCTCGCTATCGTATTTATTAAAATTCGAGGGTAGGAGCATGATTCCATCTGTTTTGAAATTATTTACAATATGTTCCGCCTTAAACACGACGAATGGTTTACCTTGGTCCCGTACATTTTGTAGAGTTCTTGGTAAGCACAAATATTGTATTTACGCAACGGCAACGCAAAAACGGCGCTGGGGAGTCCAGGCGGTGCGGTGCGCGCGGCGCTCGGGAGCCCGCCATCGAAGTTATTGAAATTCGAAGGTAGGAGCATGATTCTACCTGTTTTGAGATTATTTACGATATGTGCCGCCTTAAACACGACGAATGGTGCGCAATGATTTTTTTCTAATGTTAGGTAGGAAAGTACACCTACACCACCAATGCCCTTTGTTGCAAAATTATAAGGTCCTGTTTGTTTTATTGTCAACATCTATTTACCTGGATATAATGCTTATAACAGTTTGGTAAGAGAACATATGACTGCAATTTTCCTTTCCCTTCAACTTTTGAGACAACATTGCCCGTGAGGCCCCCTGTGAGGCAGCCCCATTTTGCTTAGTAGGCCCCTTGGATATCCTCCCCCCCAAACCAAAAATCCATGGTGCCACTCCCTCTGTCAGCATCAGCAGGCTGGACTGATTTTCCCTCGCTTGTTTCTACTTCGTATTTAGGTAATTCATTAAAAATAGCACATACTTTGTACCTATACATTTTGTCACAAATGGGAGCAGGTTTTGTCAGCTGATTGAATGTTACAGTGCTTATGTATAAGATAATGGTGATCTTCAGGTGATTCTTTGAATGCCTGTCTTCTGGTTTGAAAAGGAATTCGCCCATCCTGGCAGAAAGCAAGACTGGGTAGGTGTTTTTATCAAAATCTGTGGATTTTGTTGAAATGCTGGAAAGTATTTTACATCAGGTGGTATTAATTTAAGAAAAGATTTGACCAGTACCTATATGCTTCTAACAAAAGGTATTGGAAGCTGTAAAGTAACTGCTGGGAATGATTAAGTTTTTTTCAAAATCTAGCATTGGCAAGGAGATATCTTGTGAGCGAGGTACGCAATTGTAACAAAACGAGTGGCCAAAAACAGGTATTTATCCATTTTAAAAACTTTGGGAAAACAGCAGCTGTGTTTGAAAAGCAAATTTGGATCTGGTGAGGCAAGGAAAGATGTTACTGGAGATCTTAGCTTCATCAACATGCATTTTAGGACCCACTAAGGTTAGAATGCAAACAATAAACATGATTGTTGTTGTCCACAACTGTTCACATACTCTTTGCATGTATGTAAACTTATTTAAAAGCAGCGTTTAGATCATATATATATATATATATATATATATATATATATATATATGTATATATATATATATATCTATATCTATATATATATCTATATATATATATAGCGTGCGTGCGTGCGTGCGTGCGTGCGTGCGTGCGTGTGTGTGTGTGTAAGAAAGCTGTTGGTGTGGCTGACTGACAAGGATCACGCTGAGAAGCTGGCCATCACAGAGGTCTTCCCGGACTGCGACCAGCTTCTATGCAGCTTCCATATGCTAGCAAACATGCTGGCTTTTACCCTGATGATTTGACCTGGTGCCATGATGATTTGACCTGGTACCCCTGATGATCTGACCTCTTACCCCTGATGATCTGATCTGGTACCCCTGATGATCTGACCTGGCACCCCTGATGATCTGACCTGTGAATCCTGATGATCTGACCTGTGACTCCTCATGATCTGACCTGTGACTCCTCATGATCTGACCAGGAATCCCTGCCGGTCTGACGTAATATTCGTGCCTCCTTGTGGTTCTTGGTATGCCAGCTGGCAAACTAGCTGGTTGTGCTTTGTGCATAATGTCTGTGGACATTATGCACACTGCATGCACATTATGCACATAATGTCTGTGGACATTATGACTGGGCAGTGCACTTAGCTAACATACTTCGCTATGTTTCAGATGTATAGCATCTCAACAAAAGATAGAAGATGCCTGTGTTGAGGAAAGGTGACTGTTTTCATTCCTTTGATGAGCTAGATGCCCATATCCGTGAATTGGAGGCCGAGACGAATGTGAAGTTTTTCAAGTCGAGCCCTGTCACTCTTGGTAAATTTCTTCAGACAAATCCTGGGCACTTCATTTCAAAGTTGGTCGCTGACCGTGCTGACAAGGAGGCGCTTTTGCAGCAGAAAAAGTACCGTCTCGTTAAATTTTCATGCACTCATGGTGGGCGCCAGTACGAAAGCAAAGCTGGTGATCGTCGTGTCCGAAACACGAGAACCAAAAAAGTCGGCTGTCCCGTAAGCATCCTAGTGTTTCTGGAAAAGTCATTGCGTTTAGAGATTAGGGACATCTCACTGGAGCATTCCCACCCGGTGTCGAAGGCAAGCTTTCTGCTGCAGCCAGAAAATCGTCGCCTGCCTACGTCCTAAAGGCAGCGGCACCACAGTCGTGGGATCAGCAAAGAAATAAGGTAAGCTTGCTTGTTGTGAATTGATACGACCTTTCATTGACAATTGTTAGTAAAACCACGTCTCGAACAGTAATGAGTCGGGAAATATGACCGGCTCATATGCGGTGCGTTTCCGGTCATGACTAACTTGTATCGATCAATAACACATGGTACGGCGTAAAACTAGGTCATAATGTTTCTGCTCAGTGCGTACCATGTCTTGGTGTAAGTTTTTTCTTAACGTGTTCCTTTTTTTCTTCAGAGTACTGAACAGCAGCGGTGGATGGTGGGAGCGCTGGATTACACCGTCCACGTACTCGGCTTTAAACCCGCCATCATCATGCACCGCGTGGTCACGATGTTCCATGAATTTGACATAACTTCGTTCATCGGAAACGCCTTGACTTCCCGGATACCTGTAGAGCTCTTAGGCTTCTTCTATTGTAGAGAACAGGCTCGATATCTATATTCGTTTGCATGTCATGATGTGAATAGCTAGTTTGCCAAGATGCATCTTCATGTACATATATGAGTATTGCAAGCCCATCCAGAGACTTTGAAAGGCTGAAAGCGTTTCCGACTATCTGTGTTGATTGTTTCCAAACTG